GAGAGCAGAATGAATCTTCTGCTGAAACATGGAACCATACACTGCCATATGCTATGTCTTTTGTGCATTTGGTGAGTAGTGGAGCAGGCCCCACTCGACGTATTCGTAAGAAAACAAAAACAAAAAAACGAGAGAGCAGAATGAATCTTCTGCTGAAACATGGAACCATACACGGCCATATGCTATGTCTTTTGTGCATTTGGTGAGTAGTGGAGCAGGCCCCACTGGACGTATTCGTAAGAAAACAAAAACAAAAAAACGAGAGAGCCACGGGCATCTTCATCCTAACCCATAACTGCCAACATGTGGACCTGAACGCCAATCTTCAGCATATATTGGTGGTCGGCCAATCTTCAGCATATATTGGTGGTCGGCTGGCGATAGAACATGCAATTTGCGACTTCTGCGAAGCTTTGCGGGGCAGGTCGTTATTAGGCGACTACCCCTTCTTGCGAACTGACCCTGCTACTGTGTGGGTTTTGCAGAAGGCAGCGGGAAGGACAGCTCTCATACCCCGCCTAAAACAAAAGTTGGAATGAGCCTTATTTTGTGCCTCGCCATTCGAAACTTTTTGGGAAAGGCCTGCGCAAATCGAATTTTCAGCAGCCCTTACCCAAAAGAAAAGTTCGGGCCGTGGGCGCGGCCGGTTTGTGAACTTGCACAGTGAGTTTAACATTTTTGCCGAGTTGGGGGCCCTAAGAAATTAGAAAACCCCTACTTTTTTTTTGTTTTTTTGGACCTAATTTTTTAAGTGCGCTGCGCTTCGGTGCGCGGCGCGACGTGCGCAAACCGTGCGCAAACCGGCGCACCGACGTGCGCGGCAACTATGCTTCTCAGACATCCCTACCCTCTGGGGAAAAAGTTATGGGTTTAGGTTTCCGCTCGTGAAATCAGAGTAGCAGTCCGAGCACTACATGTATCTGGACAGCCCACCAGGCAAGATACTTTTAAATTGATGGCCCACCGCATATAGAAAAAAACAAACGGAAAGTTCTCTGCCTGCATGAGCTGAAACCTGAACACATGGGCTGGGTGGTTTTGACCTTTAACTTCAAGATTGTAAGGCATTTTGAAGACTGGATGGCTTATCATATTACTTCTCACACCATGCCTGTTGATCCACAGGTTAGGAGTTCGAATCCTTCGCGTTTCTGATTGATATGCACCTGTGTGGAGTCTGTGGACCTCTCTTTTTGTTTTCTGCCCTTGTGAGAACTTTTTGTTCCTTTTCTGCCCTTTCTGAGAACTCTTTTTTCTTGTCTTCCAAATGTTACATAGCCTGACGGTCGGCACCCTTGACTGGTCGGCTGCCGACCAGCCGACCGGTCGGGGGTTGTCGGCACCCCGACAATTTTTTTTTCTTCCCGGAACCCTCAATAACCCCACCAACACCCCTTTAGCCACCCACAATACCCCCATAC